AAAAACAACGGACCCGCAACCTACAACCAAAAAATACCAAAACAAGCCGAAAGCTATTCCTGCTACACTTGGACCGAATAGGAGTCGCAAACAATGGGCATGTTGTTCATGTTACTATAGAGCCGTTGCTGTGTATTTATACAGTCAGCATATACGCACTAATTATCTTCCTCTCTCTTTTACTCACTCATTCAGTTGCGCCATATAAATATTTATGGTCACTTGGTCACTCTAGCTCTTCTCACCTCCTCTCCTCACTCATTCACCCCCCTCACCCTTTCGTATATGCACTCCCCCTCCCCTCTCTCACGCACTTGTGCTCTACAGTATAACCTATATGCTGTTAGATATAAAGCCATTTTCTGCCTCCCTGCTCACCCATCCACTAACTCACCCTTTAATCTACTCCCTCCCTCTTTAGCTCCACTGTGCCACATGAAAAAAAAAAACATTCACTCATTCACTCACTCCTGCACTCTCCCTCCCTCTCCTCATTTTCACTCATTCAGTCCCTTCTTACTCACTAACCCACTAACTCACCCACCCTCCTGTTAAAACACACACACACACACACACACACACACACACCCACACACACACACACACACACACACACACACACACACACACACACACACACACACACACACACACACACACACACACACTTAAGTCATCAACTCAATATAAGGGCAGGTGGAGATAGAGGGACAGAGTCACTGATATTTTCCTCACTAAATGTAATTAATTTCAACTTAAATGTGGTTATTTACATTATTTCTAGGCTACAACATAAGCCTACAAAATAGGCCGATGGGATACATTATATAATAACTGGTCATAATGTTAGTTAAAAAGCAGTGGACACTTGATTGCTTGTAAATGTGCAGTATCCTACTGTAGTATAATCTATGGACCAGCTCACTGCCAAGCAGCCTGCTGTCCGGCATTGTCTTAGCACCACTGAGTCTGATGTGGGTGAGGACAGAAATTTGGTTCATAACCAAAAATAGTGTCATGCAACTCAGATAACCATGCCACAAAAGTCGGAGGAAAACACTACTCCAGTGGCTGTGACTTTCATATAGGAATCAAAATGGCGTTGCAGGGAGGGACATCAGACCTGATATTAAAATAAGGAATAAAACAGGAGAATTGATGAAAAGTTTGTTAGCTGGGAGGTTTTTGTTGCTTTGGATGGGCACCTCAGACCCTCATATAAATGAGGAAAGCCAAATGTCAAATCTGTTATTGACTGTGGTCTGATGCGCCAGTTGCTGAACAAAAGAAAGCCATCACTGCGCCCTATATTGAAGGACTTTGGTTTCGGCTGCGGTCCCCCTTGCAGCTGGACTCACACCTGGTCACACAGCAGCCACTTAGCCCCCTGTCCGAAACATGGGGATCAATTTTATGACCCAGTATCAGAATTCCTGATCTTTGGAGGTGTTGGCAACTTTCCTGACAATGGAGCTCGAGTGGCGACTGCCATAGTGACAGTTATAACCAATTCCGTCCAAAAAACAGCAAACACAGCAAACCCACCCACCGTATTACAACGCATATAAACCCATATTATCGTCCCAAGTGTCACCTGTCACTTAGATACTGTGACATTTAATTTATAGGAGGTTTAACAGTAAATAATCTCGACCACGTCACTCAAAGTCAATGGCCGGACTGTGTTAGTTGGGAAAATGTATCGATGTATTAAAAGCAAAAACGGAATCCTGCACCGACCAAACCGCGTGCATCCGTTTAAGCATAGATTCAATGTCGATATGCATTGCATGATTTCGCCCCAGGTTCCGTCTGTTTGGGTCAATTTAACGTGAATTGTGCAAAATTGTTCACAGCACGCGTTACTTCCAGCGGGTTTTCCTGGAATAAAAGTTGTTCGCCGGCGCGGACGAAGGAGAACCGGCGTGTCTCCGTGAAGCCCAATGTCTCTGCTATCAGCCCATAATGTTTTGTGGATCAGAACTCCGTCGGGGTTTTTATATTTGTCAGGAGTTGGAGGATGAAGAAACACAAACAGGACGGCGCCAGTTCCATGGAGTCCGCTAGATCAGCTGCTGGCAGTTGGTGTTCTCAATCACGTCCGCAGATAGGCTTCATAGGCTCACTGAAGCGCCTGTGGAATAAGACGCTTAAGTGATCCCGTGTACTGACGCTTCACTTTGTGTGGACAATTATTATAACATTTTTATATTTTAAAAGCAGAAAGTGTGGCATTGTCTGTCAACTCGGACTTTCTCGGGAGACGCTTTATTTCTGGCTGTGCATATTTTTTTCTGGTTCTGACGCTCCGGTGTAGCCTACCAGCTGACCCGGGTGAAATTACACCTCCAGGACTTTTTTCTTAACTTACTCAAGAAGAAAGTCACCATGGCAGAGACGTCGGCAGCTCCAGCCAAAGCCAAAAAGGCATCCAAGCCCAAGAAACCGGCTTCTCATCCGAAGTACTCTGAGATGATTAAAGCGGCAATCGTTCACGACGCCAGCCGGAGCGGAGCGTCCCGTCAGTCCATCCAGAAGTACGTGAGGAAAAACTACAAGGTGGGCGACAATGCCGATGTGCAGATTAAAATGGCCCTGAAAAGGCTGGTGGCATCAGGGATGCTGCGCCACACCAAAGGCATCGGTGCGTCCGGATCCTTCAGGCTGACCAAACCCGAGGACTCCAAAAAGTCAACCAAGGTGGCCGTATCTGCCAAACCAAAGAAAGCAGCGAAGCCCTCCAAGCCCAAGAAGGCAGCCAAACCCAAGAAGGTGACCAAGACGCCGGAAAAACCCAAGAAGGCAGCTGCAAAGAAAGTGAAAAAGGTCGCGAAAAAGGCGACACCAACAAAAGCCAAAAAGGCACCAGCTAAGAAACCCAAGGCAGCCAAGCCAAAGGCAAAACCAGCAAAGAAGGCAGCCAAGCCCAAGGCAAAAACACCCAAAAAGGCAGCAAAGACAGCGAAAAAGAAGTAAAGGGACAATAACAGAGAGACAAAGACACTGTAAATACTGAAGGAAATGTTTTCGTATATGTATTATTTTTGTAAGGTCTCATGCAAACTTATGCTGTTTTTACCAGTAGTTTTCTCTCCATTGCACTATAGCCTAAAGGTGCTGTAGAAACACTTGTGAGCATTTTTATTTGGCGTTAATAATATTAATAATAATAATAATAATGTTCATTTCTGTCTGATCCTTGGATACATATGGGCAAATGTAGGGTCTTGCTGAAAAGGAAAATGTGTATATAGTTGAACTAATGAATAGTTGTTAGTGCACGGGGTCAGACTGAAAATACAAATGTTTCAATGGTGAGCATTGTTGAGCCTTTACAATGTACAGACCATAGGCAGTGGACGTCAGCAAGATTTTCCTAAAGGCTCTATAGTTGTCATTCAAGCTCCATTCTGTATATTTTTCTCATTTTCCAAACGATTCATAATTTTCACCATCCCACTGTGTTCAGTCACTTTTAAAGACTGTTTTTACTGCAACTCAATAAACCTTTGTCATCTTCTACTAAATGTTTCTGTGAACTTACTGCGCGCATTTTACGCGTGCGTAATCAATGCCTGGTGAAGTGGTGGACATGGAAGAGAACGGAAGGATTAGTGAATATATCAAAGATTAATGGGCTTAATTCTAATCTGTATCAACAGACCAATAACACCGTCTCCTCCATTTTCCACAAACATTACCTAGACATATAAACCTCTTTGGTCCGCTACATGAAATCGTAGTTATTGTGCGCCAGGATGCTGCAGACAAAGCCCAGTGATGGAGGCTCCAAAGACATACATGATTTTCTGTCGCAGAGAAGCTGTTGACATTTGTGTAATACAAAAAGGAGAGAGTGGTATTTTGAGATTTCAATAAAAATATGATAATATACAGAATTTAAAATGCTTTTTAAGTTCTACACTAAAGTGGGCCCTACATAAGTCAATGCACTGAGTCTTAAATATCATCAGGTTATAACAATAACTACAATCATGCACTCCGAATTACCTTGCAACGGCTTTCACGACTTTGGATGGGTCAAACAAAGGCTTTGTGTAGCACTTTGGTGTAGACAAAAAAATCTCTTATTCTCTTTGGAAACAACTGCATAGTCCTTTAAGGGAATAGGAAAGTGGTAAACACATGGCTGAGACAAATTTAGGAAGGAAGTCCGGTGCAAAATGGATAAACATCTCAGTGCATAATCAAAAGCTGAGCTGTGTACAATTAATTTAGATTTTTTTCCCCTTTTGTTCCACCAAATGAAACTACTCAAAATCCCAGCATCCACGTTTGTGTGGCTCCAGGAGTGATGAGATGCCTTTCCAGACACACCCACTGCTGACTGTCCTGCCTCTCACCTGGTGCGCAACACTGCCATCTTGTGGTGGCTTGTAGTAACAGTCGACTCATCTTCACTGCAGTTAGGACCGAGATGCCAGCAGGGACAGACAGACTGGAGTCAAACTGATGAAAGTCAAGATTAGATAAAAGTTACAATCTACATACTGTTAATAATCATTATCTTTAGAGACAGTTGGAAGATCATCAAACTAACCTCGTCAAACAGCTTCAGGCTGAATGATCAAAGAGGGGCGTCCATGCTTGCCAGGGCATGCTGTTCTTGCTTTCAGATGCTATGTGCAAAAGGGCAGTTAATTGATGTTTCTTCAACATAAGATAACCCAACATTAATTTTAGCAGTACAGGTGAATGTTACCATTGGGAATTACTTTAAGTAACATGTTTTGTGATTAAGATGTGGTATGGAGAACTTGAATTATACTGCAATCACAAAGTCGATAGAATAAAACTGACACTTTTAGACAGCAAGGTCTCCCTTGAATCAAACTCATTACCACAAATAAAACAAAATGTGTAGGGTCAAGTCTCTGAGGTCTGATACTTGTGTTTAAATGCTGAAAATGAACTAACAAAACAGAAAACCCATCCCAACACCCACAACAATAGTCTTTTGGGCAGAAGCTCCCACACAGTCTGGTCTGGTCTTTTATTAAGCATCTAAATCAGTCCACTTTCAGTAAGAAAACAGCCATATTTTCAGTCGCAGAATTGTGTCCTGCAGAAACAGCAGATCACCAGCAAAACATATCAACAAAAATGGACATTAACATGACTGACTCATGTTGGAGAACAATGCAATGGCAGATTATGTAAAATGGTCAGTGTATGCACAGTGTCAGGTGTATGTGAATAGAAAAAGCACAGATTACAAATCTATTTCAGTCTCAGTTAAAATTAATTTGATTTCAATGTGAACAGATGGAGTGAAAGCAGAGATCTGACCAGATTCTTCTTAATGATTTTGTCATTTTAAGATCTGCTTTATCTCCTTTTATAGGAGAAAATATTTCTTGCTTACTTGCAGATGCATATTATATGGATTGCCATTTTTCTCCATGCACTAAGAGAAATCTCTCCCTGCCACAGCAGATCAGTGGATGCCTTACTGCTAAAAACATTTCAACAATAAGATTCAAGCAATTTAAAATGTTTCACTCTCAGGCAAAATGGTATGCCTAATACGCAAATCACATGCTATGACTACTCATTGCTGCTGGGAGTTATTTGGCAAATCAGACATGAACATCTTGTATCTGTGGTGTCTTGGTCAGAAAGGAAAGTGTTGCTCATTGAGGAGTTTCAGCAGCAGCCAGTCAGGACGTCCTCTGTTAAAAATGCTTCATGTGCTGCCCTTTGGTTCCTTAGTCTTGTCAATTTGGCATTTCTCTCATATGCTTAGGAAACACTGCATGTACATTAAAACTCTCAAATCTCACCATCAACTCTTACAGATAATTGAGGGGAAAGCAGTGGATTTGACACTACTGTCTTTGTGCATTTCCTCTGTTCTGATAAAGCACCCATTTGGACATTAACAGTAGCAGTTCTGAGCGAAGACAGGCTAACTCCTACTTAGCCTGGTTAGACAATGTAAGGCAGAAAAAGCTGGGCACGGCAGCAAGGAGAATAACATGATCACTAACTTCCAATTGCCTTTGGATTTTTGTGATCTGTTGACTCAGAGGGTAGGACAAAGTGAAAAAGTCAGACACCAAGAGGGGCAGAGATATGAAAAGTTTCCTGGAAGCCTTTATGATGATAAATAAAATAATGCAGCCTTCATCTAGTTCACTGCGGTGGGTCTGGATCTGGTCTTGGAGGTTTGGTCTTGATGGATGGAGGGAGCGTACGTCATCTTGAAATGATAAAGCGCAGCTGGTTGTTGGTCATTTCAGTCTAGCAACAGCTCTGTAAATAGCAAAGCCCAGAACTGCAACCACAGCCGAGCCCAACGCCACTCTCAGCCAGAAGGATGTGTTGCTCATGTCTGAACCGTTCAGGTGTCTGAGATGAGAGGAAAAAAAACAAAAAAACACTGAAGGTCAGCCACACTAAATAATGTACAGATAGTACCATTAACATTACAAATGTCTTGCTTCTTTTACATCTCTGCTCATCACTTGTTAATTGCTCAATGTTTTAAACATAATATTCTCCTCTGATGTAAGTCTAAATAGAACATACGGGTACATTGCTGCCCAGGCAAGCCTGGTGTAGATGTTCTTGCTTGTGGAGTCGAGGAACTGGCTGGAGAAGGGCAGTGGTGGAGGCAGTCGGTGTTTATAACAGAACTCTGCTGGGGTCATTCCGTGGAGCTGCTTGATTTCAGGTAGGTCGACCTTTGAAGCCACCAGGACACATGGGATGTTGCTCTCCATGTAGTGTTGCTAGGTAAAAAAATGGGATAAAGAGTGAAAACTTTAGCTGGGAGAGAAGAGAACATCATATGTTTTCAAGGGATTCCTATAGTAATACCTAACAAACTGAAGAAAAGTCTACATCACTTTTATCATGACATCAACTGTACAAGGTCACGGATCTGTTAAAATTCTGAGGTGAAATCTTAAGTTTATTTTGTTTATTTATTGGTGAAGACTCCCATTTCTTCCTGTGGGTGTAAACTGTCTGACAGTAGGTAAAAGCAGTAACTGTGTTTGCATGGAGCCTTTTATTCTCGCTAATATTCATAATAACAGACCAAGACGATTTAAGTTACTTCACCCTGTTCAGAATAAATACTCCATTTAGGATTTTTTTTTTTTGGAAGGTTTTTTTTTTGGTTTAAACATTTTATAATTCTTTGACAGATGAAATTTGGAATGTAAACAACTCTGATTACTTTTTATTTTCATAAGACCTTTACTCCTAAAAGCGCATGGGCTCTCAACCACTTCAAGGCTTTTATCCAAGTGGCACATCTTTCCAAGGGGAAAGATCTTAGTTTCCAGGAGATTCTGAAACAGCAGAAGCTAGAAGTGGCCTGCGCTCTCTTGCAGAGGCCATAACTGCAGAGTAATATTTACAGACTGAAATGTTGCGTCACTGCAATGAACATCGATAAACCAATGATAATGCTGGAAGCAGATCTATGTCTCTCATTTTCCTGTTCTCAACAGCTTTACTGGATTCAATCCATTGCACATATTAGAGCCCTTCTTTCTATAGAGCATATAAATAAGATATGATCCATCCTTTAATTTTGTGCTCACGTTAATACTTTCGGTGAATTTTGTCATTTGCATTGATGTGATTTGTACAAAAAAAGGTTCATGTAACCACAGCCACAGAAATTGAGAACCATGAAATTACTGTGCACCAGTCTTCATTCCATCATTTCTAAATATAATGGATTATCTAACCCAGACAGTTTTCAACTCTCCAGAATTTGCTTTCTATAATTACATAAATGAGCAGTAGAAATTGCTGAAGGCAGCAAATTGAGCCGTAATACTGCATTATGAGCTAGGCTGTGTGCAAACAACAGTGTAAAGTAGATGGGCAACCTATGTGAGCACACTGGTATTATCCTTTAAATCTTCCTGTAACTTTTGTTGTGACTGACCTTGTATATACTGGCACAATAGTCGAAGGAATGTGGGTCACTGGTGTCATACATGAGACAAGCAACGTCACAGGAGGCGTCTGATGCCTTCAGGAACTCCGCCTCTACATCCACCTCATTGAGCTGCATGGGAGGAAGGAGAATAAATAGTGTGGTGCTGAGGTTTGAGTCATGATTAAAGGTTGAGGGACAACATTAGGATCAGGACGGGGGCTACTTACGATAAGGTACTTGTCCTGGTTGCTGACTTGGACAGTGTTTATGGTATAGGGGGAGAAGGCACTGCTGGAATTTCCTTGATTCTGTACAAAAGAGAAAAAAACAGTGGTGTTGATGATGGCGACTAGAATAAGCTTATGACTTTAAGATGCTTTTGGCATATAAGGTTCTAAATGGACTTGCTCCTTCATACCCGTCTGATCTGCTTAAACCTTATACTCCAGCTCGTGCTCTCTGTTCCCACAATTTAGGGCTCCTGTCTATTCCCAGAGTTAAAAAGACTTCTGCTGGCTGCAGAGCCTTTTCCTATCGGGCACCTCTGCTCTGGAACAACCTCCCTGCTGATATCACACTGTCTGACTCCGTTCAGACTCTCAAATCTAAACTTAAAAAGTATTTTTATGCCTTAACTTTCAGTTAGCTTCCTATTCTTTTACAAACTCAGGCCTTGTACCTGTTGCTATCCTACCACCGGTGGGTGGGCCTCAGTCTCAATAAATCAGTAAAACTCAGTATAGTATAGTCCAGGTTGTTCTGCCGATGAGATCACTGTAAACTTTCTGAATCTCACTGCATCATTCTAACTGTTTGCTTTTTCCCCTCAAGCACGCTCTCTCCCTTCTCCTTCTCTATCTCCTTCCTGTTACTCTCCACAGGTCCTCCCGCCTCCAGAGCTTCAGCTATAGAGTCTGGACCTGCAACTGCAAACCACCTACTGCCCCCATGATCCTGTTTAACACCTGCTGCTAAACCTGCTAAAATTTACTATAATTAACAATGTTTATTATTATTGTTATTAGCTGTCATTACTATTCTTATCAGTAGGAGCACTATAGTTGCCTCTACCTTACTATCGCTGTTACTGCCGCTACTGTCACTATTATCAATATTGCTATCACTGCCCCCCCCCAGCCAGTCGAGGAAGATGGCTGCCCACCCTGAGTCCAGTTCTGCTCGAGGTTTCTGCCTTTTAAAAGGAAGTTTTCCCTTGCCACTGTCGCCTAGTGCTTGCTCTTGGTGGGAATTGTTGGATCTCTGTAAATAACATTATAAAGAGGTCTAGACTTGCTCTATTTGGAAAGTGCCTTGAGATAACTTATGTTGTGAATTGGCGCTATACAAATAAAAATTGACTTCATTTATCAGTTTAATAATAAAATATTTGACATTTTCAGCTCCAGACTAGCAGATCGTGTCGTACCACAATGTTGCGGCCCACAAAGGCCTGGAGAAAGGCTGTCTTTCCCGTCCCCCGTGGTCCGATCACCTTGCACAGAAACACTGACCGCTGTGTCTGGTGCTTCTCTAGGTCCACCTCTTTCTCCCGTGTCACTGCACATATAAACAAACACAAATGCAAAATATGAACCAATGGCACAAACACACAGGATTGTCATTCTGTCTAATCCAACATTACGCAGCTGACCACCTGCCTTACCCCAACAAATGGTAAAATATAATACTGTCTTTGATTTTCAGTTTTTTGATTTACACTATTTGCTATACAGTGCAATATTGTGGGCTAATCCTTTTCCAGGTAACATTATAAAAGAGTCCAACATTGTCATTACAAAGAAGAAAGAAAGATCGACCTGCCACCGGGGCTGTTACTTCAGTTCTCTCTCGTTTCATCACCGTTGGGTTTGTCTAGGCCACCAAACAGATCATACATGCTACAGTCCAGCCAGTGCAACACATCACTTGTGATGACCTGTTTATTCCCAAGGATTTTAAGCTGTTGTATCTAAGATTTAAACAATGGATCTTGTAAGTAAAGTGTGGTTATAAACAATAAGAATTAAAGCAAATAATGTGAAAATAAGACATGGGTTGTTACAAAGAACGAGAGAGCAATTTCCCTTTAACAAATCAGTTTAGCTTGTCAAATAATCAGTAACACAAACTCTCTGGCTTTAATTTGACTTTTTTAAATTTTAATATTATACAATAAGGCTTTATATTTATTACATTTATTAAGTTAAAGTAAGGTTAGTCTATACATTGAATAACTTCAATCTCAGAAAAGGTGCCCTCTAGTGGTGTTAAGGGCACGATCGATAAAAATACACGTACAATAACAATTACCATCAATAATAAAAGCTTGATTCACAAATGTAAAACACATGTTAAAACTAGTCACCAGTCCCCTTGTTAAAAGACTTGAGCTGCTTTCTACAGTCGGGTTAAGTACAAGTGCTCATTCCTGGACAGAGACAGTGTGTGTGATTAGCAGCAGTGAGACATATTACACCACACTTTCCAATCTTGTCAAATCTTTCCTGGCAAAGCGTCCTCGGGCTGCGACTAGTTCACACACAGTCTGCGGTGACACTACTCCCATGCACACACGTACAACTGCTCCTCATATTAGCTCAAGTATGAACCACTAATTTAATCATTAAACCATATTCTTTTAGACACAAGAAAAAACATGTCTTCATCATGTGTGGAGAGTGCACCATGCATCAAACCATGCATACATGAAAGTGTAGACGCATGCAATTTGCAAACTCCAGAGTGAAAGTGAACTATTCATTCCTATCTCAAGGACAAATGCACAGGTATGTAAATCTATTAGGCTACAGTGAACTGGATTAACACTAATAATCCTCCTATAGTACTTAACTATGAGATGTTTTCAAGGGGAATGTACAGTATGTCTCCCATGTTCCACACGCAGATGGTCTCACTTTCTTATATACATACTGTTTGTATGCACATGCTGATTGTTGGGATTTCCCACAATTAAGTCAATCTCTAAGAGTCAATCTCACACACACACACACACACACACACACACACACACACACACACACACACACACACACACACACACACACACACCTGTGATTGCCGAAGTCTGTGACTCCTGCTCAGTGAGGATAGGGTAGCCTAGGTATCCTAGGTGCTCCAGGCAACGGTGGATGTCAAGGTATGCAGAAAGCCTGCATGTGAGGGCATGGACATAGATGTGAGCTTTGAGCAGTGCAGAATATAAATTACCTTTAAGTGTGTTAAAGTGTAAACGATGGCATGCCTACAATCATATAAAATCATCGACAACTAAGTGACATACTTACATCCACTGACAAAGGTAGCCGTGATTAGAGATGTGGCCCTCGTCTGTGGTTGCCACAGTCATGTAGACCTCAGCACCCCATGGCATGTAAGGACATACACAGAACAGGTTCTTAAGCTCTGCCGGTGACAGGGCAGAGTCTTTGTCCTAAGAAGGAAAAAAAGCCACTTCTTCAAAACAAGGACATCCTCCACTATTGAGTAAGGAGATTTCCCACAATATTTATCTGTTTAATTTAGGAGCCCAAAGGGACATTGTAACCAAAGGCAGCTAGGATCGCTACTCACTTCATCATACTTGTTGAAGAGCTGCTGGAGAAACTGGTAGCCTAAATGATTGATTTCTGTGGTGCAGCCGACGGCGACCCGTAGTCTGAAAACACAAGAACAATTGCCATACCTGACAGGTGTGTACAAATCAACATAATACAGACAAAGCCACATGAAAATGTTAGAAAAATATAGTCTGAGATAAATAACGATAGAAAACATAAAGTTATCTTTTCGCTCGGAAAACTATGGTTATCAGTAATGTACTGTTTTGCAGCTGAAACGACGGACAGGATACAGTCAGTAGACTTACTCAGGATAAAGGTAATCATCAGTCAGCTCAAGGTTGTCATCATAACCAAACTTCCTGAGGATGGTCCATGTGGTTTCATGTCGGCCCCTCTGGATAAATAACGTATTAAGGAACAAGAAACCTGAAAGAGGAATGACAGACAACTTCAGACGACTGGGGCCCCACAACAACACGGTTTAAAGCTGCATGTTCTCATTCATGACTGATTTTTACCATTTAGGGTCAGGCCGTTGTCCTGCACCCCATCGCTGGTGTTCTTCCAAACTACTGTCTTCACATCTTCTAAGGCTTGAGGTGCCAGAGGATTCCCAAAACAAGATTTCTACAAAAAAGATGGATTATTTTATTTTATTTTTTATTTTTTTCTGGTTCAAACAATAGCTGAGAAAACATTTTGTTAAGTTATTTTAACTTGAACCTGAAATCTGTTGAGCTCAGCATCACTGAGGATTCGGTCATTGTCTTGGTCAGAAATGTAGAATATTCTGCTAAGGGCTCGGACGCACAAGGGTTTTAGCTGGGGAAAAATATTGAAGGATAAAGAACATATCATTAATCAACCAATCATTTATATGCACAAGTAAAAGTGGATTGGGACCGAGACAGGCAGACTCAGCAGTTGGCTTCCCATTTCCAAAAATGGCTGACCTGTTTGTCTTCAGGGTCATATAGAGGGGCAGTGGGATGAAGAACTGCCTTCTGTGCATAGTAGAACAGCTCGGAAATGTTTTTCAGGTTCTTTGCAGAACACTTGAAAGAGAAAATCAGCAGAGAGATTATTTCAGATACAATTACCTACACAGTCTAAAAGCCAGATAAAGTGTGCATGTGTAAATATTTGTGTGAAACCCAGCAACCGTGAGTGTATCACAATGGTAAGGTTAGCAGGTGTTTACAGACTGCAGTGATTAGCAGACTGGATAAGTCTGCAGGTCAGCCTCACCTCAACACATGTCTCAATCTCAGAGAACTGGTTCATGATGGGAAGAATGGTTTCCATTGAGCTCCCACAGCGAAGATCAGACTTGTTTCCCACAAGGATGATGGGAACTCTGATGTAACATATGAAGACAGGTTAACCCTCAGTACAACACTATCATGATTTGTTATACACAATGACATCACAATACAGGCGAATCTTTATGACAAGACTCATTGCTAATCAAATACTGTGTAATGCCCTCGCTCACCACATTTTGGGCATTTTGCTGATGCTCTTTTAACATTTTCAGGGTGACTTAACTCCACAACAGGCTTAAATTCCTACTCTGCCAAGTTTGCCAACATTACATGCAAACAGTGGGAAGTAGAGCAAAGTTCAACAGCAAAGCAGAGCCCAAGTAACACACACCCATCAACAGCTTATACGTACTTGTTCCCTTTTTCTGCATTGCCATTTACTAGAGGTATCCATTTAGTTTTGATCTGAAAAGTAAGGAGCAGCGTATGACAAAAGTGTATTTTTTCATTTAAATGCATTTGGTAAACATAATACACAGTATCTGGAATGCTTGTACAGTATGAGAAAATGTAAACCAAGCAGCAGGTTACTACCTTGTCTATCGTGTCCTCGTTGGTGACATCATACACTACACACACCACATTAGCCTGCAGTGACAAGAATTTAATATCAAAAACAAACAGATGCCATTCAAACTATTTTAATTAAACCCCTGGTACGCCCTAGAGTTAAAAAAATAAATAAATTCATAATTCTTAATAACTTCACGATATCTGCATATAAAAACCCTGAAAATTATGAATAGACTAATCACTTGTAAAAAATATTGATTGAGGCACTTGTTACTATGAGCAGTAGAGTTTATGCATGTTCAAAAATCCCCAGAGCCAGAGAAAGGAAAAACATCAGGCTCAGGATGTTATTGCTTTGGGTATTACACCTAAAAAGCTTAAACTGACATTTCTTTTTAGTGTATGTTGTTGTTAAGTACTTCAGGAGAGCGCTGAACCAACCTTCAAATGTGTGCTTTTTGGTCTCATTTAATGTGTGGCAACACTTTCGAGTTGCAGACAACCTTACAGGCAATTACCTTTATTCATACAACTTTTTTCATATTATCAATCATCAAAGAATTGTTTGAGGTTGTTCCAGCTTAATTTAAGACAGGGTGCACCTGGTTTCTCATAGATTTTATTAAGATGCTCTGTTGTTAAAAATGATGTTCAAGTGCAGATCGTTAATTAGTACTGCTCTTAAATAAGTGTGCTTACCTTGATGATCTCATTTCTAAGGATCTCATCAGTCTGTTCTTTTTCTGTCAGGGTCAAGGACAAACACAAACAAACCTGAAAATCAAGTCAAACAGACCCACATGCCTTGTCTATGGCTCCTTCTTTTACAGCTGGTGTCTTAATGTGCAACAAGCAATGAGACCGATCAGAGGATTGTTTACGCGGTAGTCATGTTACCTGAGTAGTCCACTATATGGGTAGGCACCTTCTCCGGAGTGACGTCAGCAGGGATGGTGATTTCTTCAGCTCTGGAGGGAACCTGTCAGAGTGTGTAGATCACAGACAGACTCATCAGGTTATCAGGCCACAGCATCCCATAATATATAATACAGACTCACATTTTCTATCATATTTATATGAACAAAATTTTTTATTTAATTTTAAGTAGTATCAAGCACATTTACTATTAAATACATTTAAACTAAATGAAGACACAGTCAAAAAGTTTTAATATATACAAATTACACAAAAAAATCTGTACTGGCCACATTGTACATAACACAGCAGTCCTAAATGATTTCTTGAAATTTTCTAAATATGTGGCAAAAAGTCATAAATGCTTGGCCAAAGTACCTAGTATTCAATAAAATTCAGTAGTGGTTTCTGTACATTGCAGGATCTGTTTGACCCAGAAAACTTAGTATTAGAAACCTTAATGATATTATAATTATTCTACATCTGATCATCACTGAGACATTGAAACTTAAGCTTGTTTCATTGTGTGACAAGTCAGTTTTGCAAGTGGAGCTGCAGCAGAAGTAAATTTGCCAGCTAATCTGAAAAAGGACAATGATAACACCTCCTGCTTTACACTTACACAGGCAGGGAGGAATTTTATTAGCTTGTACTCAGTGAACAGAGCCAAGAAACTATGTTTTCCTTAGTGCACAAAAACAAAGCACTTGGCTGAATATTGATTACTGTAGAATAATTGTGGCCATAATTGCTAAAAATAGGTCAACGCAGGCCACAAGAAGCAGGTGGTGAGATTCTTGACCACCCCCCAATATCACATGGGTAAGCAGCTGCACTCACACTTACCTCTTCAGGAAACTCCTCTCCAACCAAAGACATGATGAGTGATGTCTTCCCCACCTTGGCTGTAAGGAAAGACAATATGCAGAAGATGAGAGGAGATGCCATGGAGAGACTCAATGATCCATTTTAGCTCATACTGTATGCTGAAAGTGATAGCACTTAAAAAGTGCATGTACTAGCAAGTTAGCCGACTACCCCTTTATTTGTATCATTCACACAAATGCCCAAAAATGGACTGAAGTGCTGCTGGTTAATATGGCATGAAGCAAACACTATTTTCTAGCAGCTGCACAGAGAGGTGTTTGTCCTGACTCAAACAGACAATATTAAATCAAATGTCATGATGATTTATGATGCATCTACAAAATGCCTAACAACTGTCAATACTGAGTCACTGGACTTTAGATACAGTTAAGTTAACGGGAAATGTGTCACTTTCAGAAAAGCACAGTGACTTGGAGGGTTGTTTTAACAGTTTAGATTTTCAATAGGTAGTTGGGTTAACTTTCTAACGTTAGTTCATAATGCAACTGCCTAAGTGCAGCTAACATTAGATTTATAGTTAGCTAACATGTCGATGCTCTCCGACAGAACTGCAGGAAGTGAAATAACAATTAAAATACATCTGTGTAATGTCGCTTTAAGTTCTCGATGACAGTTAGAGTTAACTACTAACTGACCGTTCACAAATTGAATACAAAGTTACTCTAAGCTATGTTAGCATTAGCGGAAACTAACGCGTGAAAAGCGGTCACTTCGTAGAAAACATACGCACTTTTAAAACTCAATTAACACAGAAACATACATTTTCAATTTAATAGTCTTCGCCACCAGGATTAACCGTAGTATATTCAACTCCAAGTTAATAAGTTAGCTACAACAGCTAATGCTTGCTAGTCCTTTAGCTTGTGGTCAGCTGTCAGTGTAAATGACTTACGTTCCCCCAATAAAAGTATCCTGACGTCTTGTTTCATGTTTCCTCTCTGCGCGAAGAACAGCTAGACGCGGTTCAGTGTTACAGTGACATTTATCTTTCATTTGAATGTCAAATTTCTAGCTAAAACCAAACGAGTGCCTCTCCACAGCGATATGCACCCAAGGTGAAAATATATCGTTCCGGTTCACATTGGAGACGGTAAAAACGCGCCCTCTGTTGGACAAACTCCGCGCTGCTTAATACTTCACATTGGCACTAGTAACATCTTTGTCTGATACTTTACTGTAACAATGTCTTTTAGTGTGAACTATGCTAAGGTACAGAGCTTAATTATAATCAAACCAATATAACTATTTAAAAATTATTATTATTATTAAAAAGATATTTAGAAAAGCCAGATGTGATAATGACTGTCTTATTTTCAGATCTAATTGTTAAGTAAATAATAAACTAATAAAGTGGCTCATTTGTAACAGCTTTGAGATGATCATTCTTGCAGAAAAAAAATCCCTTCTGATAACAGCAGCAGCAAATGTAATATACCATTTAATGATCACAATTATAGTCCTCTGCCCAAAGTTTTTTGTTGAAACTATTTGATTCATCTAGCCTTTGATTTTTTTCACTAAAACATCCCAAACAGCTTCTAAATAGGAATCAGGACAGTGAGTAGTAGCTATCATTCAAAATGGTAATAGCAGCCAGATCCAAATTGTTGGTGTCTGAGTGGCACCAGAAAGTTTTGAGCAGGGCCAAAGCCACTGCAGAAGCAGTTAACAAAAACAAAAACATCAAATTAGCATAATAATCTGACATGTTCATTATTGAACTGACAGAAGCCAATTTAACACACACACACACTATTGTGTGTGAATTTTTTACCTGGTGTAAAGAGTAATAATTATGAATGCATCATTTGGGAAATTACTGTCTGGTGTAATTTACACCTGAGGTTTTGTTTTTGAGTCCATTCCACTGGAAGATCACAAGGAATTATGTGTAATGTACAGCACTCTCCTAACAAGAGAAGACATGGACAGGGTACCTGCAGTGTTGTAAGCCAGCTGGTCTCAATGTTTGTTTACCAGTTTTGATTCCATTTCATTATCAAACATATCCATAATGTTCAATAATTGTCCTCTCTTTGCAATGATTTAATCTGCCTGTCTTATTTTTTACTTCCAGCTGGGTTTGTATCAAATGAAATCCTCTCAACCTCCACAGACATAATGATGTTGCATTAAATTACTTGAGCTACCAGTAATTAGAGTGTAATTTAAATTGGGAAGCTTGAATTGATTTCCTTGTGACAGAAAGGAGATTTTGTCACTGTCAAAAATGGAAACTCAAGAGGTTTCATGCAAAATGCTCTGAGCAGTGTACCTGTCCTCCATCGTTGTCCTCCGTCTTGTGGAATAGAAAATGTCTTTTGTGTGGGAGTGTACAACCCTAGCATCGTTACAGTCATCTCACATTACAGATTGTAATTTTTCATGCTGCTTTTTATTAAAATCCTGACTTAAAATAAATAGTCAAACATTAGAAGCGACTGGACATGCAAAACAATCCCATCAATAAAAATGGCGGCCTTTTAAAACCATACAAATTAAAGAAAACAATTAATTTCATGAACTCCTATGCATCAAATTGTACACAGCTTCTCCACAAGTTGTAACTATTTCCCTAAAAATATTTGATTGATAAAAAATATTTATGAAACATTAAAATTACATTAAGTAACAATATAAACTAGGCACAAGTGAAAAGAAAAGAAAGAAAAAAACAAGGTCTGAGGTTCATACACAGATCAGAGGCTGTCAGAGGCCCCGCACCTCCCACAGCAGGATCTCATTATAAGCCACAGTGAACAGAAGCGTCCCAGAGGGAGAGAAGTGACATGTCTGCAGTGAGTCACTGTGCTGCAAGAAGTCCTGAAACCTGCCACTGCTCGACTTGATCAACTTCAGCACTCGCTCTGATAAGAGATCAGACACATAGTGAGAAATATATGAAACCCATGCTCCAAACCTACATTACGTGTTTCTTTACTAGAACCTTGGGGTGATACATCATAAAAACACAAGATTGGAGTTTACCTTTTGATCCCACAGCTACGACCTGACTCTTAGAGGAGAGGCCAAAGCATGTGGCCCAGTGGGGCAGGGCAACCTTTTTTATTATCTGTAGGGAAAAAAAACAAACATATTAGATGATATTACACACATATTTTTGGATATTCTGCCAGCAAAATCTGCTCTATACAGGTACAGGAAAAAATCCCAATACTATGATGGAGCAGTGAAGCGAGGGGAGACGCTGTACCTGTTTTTTAGTAAGGCTGTAAAAGGACAGCTCTTTCTCTACTCCGTAGCCAGTGTAGACCACCATGCCAGGGTCTGCTGGGCAAAAGGCAGCCAGGCTGGGAGGTGGGCTGTCATCCTACAACACACACAGTTTATACACATATAAAACAGCTAAAATAGCTAATGGTCAAACATGGACTGAGCAGGCTAAAAACAACACACCAGGAAATGTCAAAACAACAAATAAAACATGCACATACATTTAGTGTCAAATAAGATAAGGGGAAATATTGCATTCAAATGTTAAGTATTAATTTTCAACTAATATCCTTCACAGGTCTTAACCAGCCATTTTCCTGAGCATAGACTACAAAACAGACCTGAAAAAAGTGCATAGAAGAGATTTAAATTTTTAAACAGGAATCCACACTGGCTATTTGATTTAATAGAGAAATTCTGGCTGTGGGATTAGGTATCAGCCTCATACTTCAGATTTTAACTTTTATAAAATACACCAATATGTCTTTACTTCATAAAAGGGCAACAGAGTATCCTTGAGCCTTAAATCAAAGGGAAATACAATAGCACTCAACATTTGGAGTGACATTTTTTAGTCAATAGTGTGTACTATTACTTAAAATACAGATGGTACCCCAAAATAGGCCGGAGCAGGAAATGTCAGCCAGTCTAGCAGATCACACTTGTCCTTCAACCAATCGACAGCCCACACACTGACGCGTCTGTCAGAGCTGGCAGCCAACCACAACTCATTTCCTTCCAGTCCGAAATTCTTACACTGGGGATTAGAAGATAAAACACGTTCAGAGATGTACTGATGAAAAAAATGTCATAAAATGTCGCATGGATCAAAGGAAGAATTTCAGCGATAACCGTGTACATTGTAGCTGTGGAGAGCTGAAGAAAAGGAAATGTCAGACAATTCTTTGTATGAGTGCCGTAGATAAACCTTTCAACATCACTTCCCATGCACATAACTAACATTCTGTGATGCATATTGGAAGTGAAGTGGATTTGAAAAGATAATGTCAAAACAAAACAGTTTAAGTACTCAGAGTGCTGTCTAAAGTGGTTGTTTGATAAGTGATTTCTGTTGCAGAAACACCTCTCCCACTGTTTCTATTGTGCTGTCATGTTAATCTCTGATAAAGCTCCACTCCTTCATCTGATTCACTGAGCTGACCTCTTCATTCACACACTGGATGGTGGTGATCGGCGCTCCTTTGTGGTCCCTGATGACACGGATAGTTGCTCCATTCACTGGGCTGCTGACAGCTACCAGACCATTCTTACTCCCTGAAAGGATCACGTGACCTGTTGGGGGCCAAAAACAGATAGACAAAGTGGATGACACGCAGCGGCTTTAATATAACATGAAACTTTACTGCCAGAACATGGACTTGATCATGAGTCTTTGAATTTGAGGGAAAATTCTTCTCTAGATTACTCAACTGTGCTTTGACCCATCCTTTGATCATTTAAACATTGTTCTATTAGAGTTTGATCATTACAATAGTCAGCTAAATAATCACTAAAAGAAGTAGACGGGACAAGGAAGTTGGGTAGCAAAAAAATATAATTATGACATTTTGTTTAAATACTGGAATTAACAGCAGATTCAAGTTTTTTCAACTGTTGTCCTTTCTCACCATTAGCAGAGTATTGGATGGCAGTGACAGCTACGTGATGGGGATGCAGCTTCATCTCCATCTCTGAGGAGGCAAGCCGGAAGACCCTCAGGGTCCCATCGCTGTATCCTGCAGCCACACATGCACTGCCCTTAGTGGGAGAAGGGCTCCAGCAGACACAGCCACAGGCCTGAGCAACAGAGAAAAGCAGTGTATATGCAATTATGGTGCACAGTGGCTGTGACTGAACTCACTTAGAGTATGCCATCTTTCCACCCACCACCTGTCAGCAAAGAGCACAGGAAACATGCCTGTATATGTAATGAAAAATTACAAATAACTTCTGGGATTGCTGATGATTTTTTATTTTTTAGCTTAGAAAAATGAAAAGGCATGAATATTCTCGTTTCAACACAATATTATAACTTTCTGTGGAGTAGAACCACCAGGAGACCATTGATTAATTCAGTAACTAAATGAATCAAGTTGTACAATTTATTCTGTTATGTTTGTGTAATTTGTAAAAACTGAAAACTATATTCTCTGACTTTCTCATCTTATCTACCGAAAGATGTTCCATTGAGGTTTCCAATAGAGACCTGACCCATCTACTCATTTAGTATATTTGTAAGGCGTGTCCCCTCACCTGGTTGAGCACCTGGAACTGTACCACCAGTTCGTTGCTGGGGACCGACCACACCCTCACACTACCATCCTCACTGCAGGTGGCGAAATGGTTCTCGTCAGAGCTAAAAACCACATCGTTCACCTGGACAGCGGAGGACAGGAAAAACATAAAGAGAACCGAGCCCCTGTGTGAGTGCAGTTAAAATCACATACATTGTGATAACATTAGTGACTCAACCCTCTCTTCTGAAAAACAGAGACCAGAGGTCACATCAGGTAATTTTCATCCTTCTCATTTGGCATTTTTTCTGCAGTGGCTGCACTCTCCTGCTTTATTTAGAATTACACTTTTTTTAAAGCTTCATCTCTTTCCCAGATCAACAATCAGTGCTATGTAAATGAATTAAACTAAATTATTTAAATACGATCAGAAACACTTCCCATGATAATAAATGTCAAATAATGCAAAAACCATTGACAGGTAAATGAATAAAAAAAAAAAAAAGGAAGAGAATTGCTTACCATTACAAATAAGTTGCGCCACTTAAAAATAAAAATATTATTCAAATTAGAAATATATTTATATTTCAAGTATTTAA